TATCGCATGTGAAGATTATCTTCCAAAAAGGAAGGCATCAATAAGGAAATATCCCTGGACGAATGGTATTAACATTTTCACCTGACAGGTGATGATAATATGGCGGAGTCTGGTGTGTTGCCGATTGGTGAAATATTCGCTACTTATTCCCAGGAGGCCAAGAAACGTTTTTAATTTAGCGAAGAATAATTATTAGCGAAATATTTTCGTTTGAAAAAAAAATCGAGCACATGAAAAGGCCACAGTTTTAGTGTTATCCTCAGTAGAAGACCCCATCATTAGCCAGCAGCCTCTTCTCTCATACTTGATGAATGGTGGCACTGTAATACTCTGAGTGCTCTCTGTCTCTAGCAAATTCAAAATTGGTCACAGTGTTCACCCATTTTATCAGAGCTTCGCACAGGCAATACAATCAATGATAAGAACTTTCACTTTGATAAAAGCGTGGCCAAGTCTCTGGCTAATATCAACGAAGAAGTTTCCAGGCGTACGTTGCAAGCCCTGAAACACGTTTCCTTCGTAGCCTCAAGACAGATTCACAGTATCAGTTGATACGTCGTCAGCTTACGGCCACACGTTTGATTAAGCCAGGTGTACACATCATATTACAACTGACGTCCAATTCTAGCCAGGAATTCAGCCATGATTATCATTATAGATACACATCGGTGTGTAAACTCTCGTACGTAATACGCATAAAGAAAGATAAAAATGCACTGGATGCTACTTGCGGCTTACTTTTGTTGGATTTTTACCATGAAAACGAGTTGTCATTAAACTTTATGCACGAGTCATCCAGATACACATTTTCTTTTGCATTAATTGAGGACTGACTATAGTATAGACCAACAAATGTTCCTCATCCGAATATTCGCTTATCATTTGAAAAATCCTATGACATATAGTTATTGAAAATTCAATAATTCAAACCTGTTCTTGAACTTTCAATTCCTGACTTGTACTTCATCAATTTGCTAATTTTAGTCAGGTTAAATCATTGTAGTCATGCTGCATGCCTGTCATCCGAAGTTTGCATCGTGAAAATCGTTTGTTTAATTATAATGAATTGAAGTAAGCAAGTTGTTCACTACATCTCTCAACACACTATTGTCTTTAGATAAATGTGAACATGGATAAAATTATTTATGTGAAATTTTCGGCCATGATATACTCATAGCCTACATCGAAGCTCAGATTTGCCTCTACGTAAGTCTGGGTATTGGGTATTACAAGTGCACTGGAATCGCATCACAATTGTTAAGGTTATTCAAAAGAAAAGTCATTCGGAACTGATCTTGTTGCACTATTTTAAAATAGTTTAAAAATTAAGTATAATTTGATAAAGGAAAATTGACAGCTTGTGTAACGAGTCGAGCAAGGGTTCCAGGGTGAGTCTTTGATGTCAAAACATTTAGAGCTTTTAGTGTATCCTTATAATAATAATAATTATAATAATAATAATAACGGTTTCAGCGTTTATTAGGCCATAGGGCTGTCGCAGAATATTCACAGTATTTTGCGGTCTCGAACTCGCAACTCACTGCTTCAATCCTCCTGTGCTTAACCACCCGGCCTCCTCGCCGATTCTGACCAGAAACTGGTGCACAGAGCTGGGATCGAACCCGCGCCTCTCTGCGCCAATCTTGGTACTCTGAACTTTAACCACTGGGCCACCCTGCCCTTGAATTGTTCTTTCAACCTAAATAGCTTCACCAAACTTCACATACATTTGACACGAAAAAACAATTTATAAGAAATTCGTCAAGTTATTGGGAAGAGGTGCGGATCACGAACACAACAAAAATCTCAACTGTACTGAGAATATAATGTTCAGTGAATGTGTATCTTTGTGTATTGCAACGTTCATGTATTGAATTCCACGTATGACCGTATAAGTCGAGAACGAGGACGAAATCGAAAAAATTTACACGGGCTAGGCATAACCTTTACGTTCTAAAAAGTACACGTGTAGAGTTTCAGTAAGCTACGTTCATTTGTTTAGGAGATCATTCATATAGGCTGTGTTTGTGTATAATTTTGGAGACCGGCCGCAAGCCAGGTCGCAAGTCCGGCTGTAAAATTGTACGAAGTCTGAAGCACAATCGTACACAAATGGTAAGGATCGAGGAGCTATGCAAAAAAAATCATATAAGCCATAACTATTTCAATTTCCCAATTTCGAAATTGGCTCGATAATGACAATGGTAAATGTTTCAATTAAGAGAATCAGAGCTTTACTATTCTAGGATTTATGTGGCAATTTTCACCCCAAATCAAAACCTGTAACGTCCTTTGAACTCAACATGAACGAAACTAATTGTAGAAAATATAATACAAAAAATGTTGTAATTTTGACAACAAACGCCATCAATCAACAAGGTTTCTTAAGATAAAATATTCATGTGTTTTTTTGTTCATTTTACACGGTAAGCTGTGGGAAGTTAACGGGAGAGCTTGTATATAATAACTTGTGGCCCGATACCATAACTGCGTGTAAGTTATTAGTGGCATATTTCTGCAGTTTATATAGGTACTAATTTTAGTGACCAACTGAAACCTTTAGGTATATACAAAAATGAAGACGATTTATTATTGAAATTTGAAATTCAATATAATGTATTAGCGGCGGATATCATGCTTATATGCGTACACGTGCGATGCAATTCAGAAGAAGCTTTGTTGTCAGAATAATTGTTTACGCTAAGAATCGGAGAGGAAATCAATTCATGGAAATTTTAACAAATGCGAATATAATGACGACGCACAAAACCAATATAACTTTCTCAGGAACATGTTTCAGCTACGGTTCAGATATTTGTAAAGTCAATCCTCTTGATAAATGTGGGATTAATGGAAACGACATCCGCAAAGAGAAGCTGCGCGTGGGTCAACCTTGTATTAATTCAACCATGGGTGTAGGGACCGGTAGAGACTTGAATAATTGACGCACACTTCCCTAGATCACCGCAGCCGTCGGCCTACGTAGGAGCCGTTTACTTGTTGGTCAGGCAAGAAATCGATCCTACCAGGGACGCTACACAGTCACTATAGCACAATGAGAGGAAGGTGCGCTCCGACCAAGTCTCAACGAAACGATGAATATGGGTCTTCAGCCCGGGGATGCCACGTCAGCACACGCGACACGGTAGCCAACTTTACCGGTAACGATATACCGTTTAACGGAAAATAATTTAAACCGCGACAAAAATCTGATAATTTATGAATTTCCCTTACAGGGAATAGCTTTATAGGTTTGGGAGAACTTTCGAGTTGAATCTAAACCATTATGAATACCAATTCTTTTTCAGAAACTGCTGAACGGATACTCGGGAAATTATAAGGTTTTGTGGCGCTTTGAAATGAATAATTTATTGTTTGGAAGAACTCTCGTGCTGGATTTAAAAAGTTATAATTAGTAATTATATTTTAGAAATGGCTGAACTGTTACTCGTGAAATTATAAGTGTTTTCCACTTTGACTTTAATGAATTTCAAGGTTTACGAGAAATTTCAAGTTATATTTGATTACTTATGAAAGCTATTTCCATTTTCGAAATGGCTGAACTGATGCTCGCAAAATTATAACAGACTTTTTGCCGCTTTAAAGTGAATTTATTTCTAGGTTTAGGAGAAATTTTGAGAGGAATTTTGAAAGTTATGAATGCTAATTCTATTTATGAACACTAATTCAGTGTTTTCTACTTTAAAGTGAATAAATTTCAAAGTTTGGGAAAAATATAGAGTTGAATTTAAATAGTTATGAATAATAATTTCATTTTAGAAACGGTTGAACTGATACATCCATTGCTTTCTACCCTCACAAAACTCAGTCAATAACTGCAGCTGCTCCGTCAAGCGGGCGTGAGGATATTTTAGTTGTCATGAGATAATCAAGCCGGTAGCATGAAACGACGAGATTACGACCCGGCCACGGCAAGGCCATGCAACCAATTGTTATTACACTTCTTTATTCATGAACATATTTTCCATGCGAGTTACTCTGGAATGTTTGCATTACAAGGATCTATCTTTACATGACTATTCTCTGTGATGCAGGAGGATCAGCTGATGAGAGGCGTCGTCGTATCCATGCTACTCGGTGGGCCATCAGGATGAAGGGGGCAGCTGAAGAAGAGGTCAACACTCATATGTTCTGGTCCATCATTCACGTTATTGTGAGAAGTGATGGTGTAAATGTTTGCTTGATGTGTGTAAATTTCAAACGATTTAACGATTAACACTTTGATGCGAGGTCGAGTTTACAAGGTGAGAAGATGTTTAAGCGATAAAAAACAGCCATGTTTCCAAATTTCGTCCGTGTTCACTGTTAGAAAAATTATTTTTCTCGTGAGAAATAATCATACGTTTTCTCTATGTGTTTGCCAATAGGTAGGAACCAAAATTACGCTTCTCGATAATCTTATTCAATTCAATATTATAGCTACCAAGTAAAAGTGTTCTAAGTCTCTTAGTGTGTGTTGGCTTTTCTTAAAAGTTTCTTCGTAATTCCATTTACCACACGCGATTTTCTATGTTATTAATGTATTCAGGTTCCGCTTACGTACATTGCCAGGGATATTAGTATCTTCATTCATATAATTCTTCACTGCATTCTGTCCTCATTATATTCCTATTTTCTAAGGCGAATGATTAAGGATGCTGCCACGTAGTTCATACAGCAAAGGTTTTAGTTTTGGCTTACTCCTGCAACTAGCGTCAGCCTGCGTATATAATTATTATTCTGAAGATATTAATATACAACAAATGTTTAAAAAATTTAACTAAAGAAAATGCCAAACGTATTTTAATGCACGGTTGCCGCAAAATCAGTTTTGGCCAACATGACGTGGAAGTCAAACGTGTATTTTGGTAACGAGGTTACGAAGATTTCGAGGGAACGACGCGACTGGCGCTTCAAGTCAATAACAACAAACTCTTCACTTCACAAACCCTTGACGCTGACATGGTTACTGGAATAAAAAAACATGAGATTTGTTCAATAATTTAATTTAACCGTGAATATTTATTCCGTTCATTATTTTAAGTTAATCACTCGTGAAGTCTCATTGTAATAGGCTGGTGACCCCAGGGTATATCACTTGAACTGTATAAAATTTAATCACTGAAAAAAATGTCACAAGTTACAATAACAATTTTCGATAACAATATAATGCAATATAAACCATATCCTTGCCCGTAAACCACTGGTGTGCTATTATACGATTAAAGGCACAAAACACAATAGACCTAACATGATTCAAAAATCAATCCGTATAAATAAAATGATTTTGTAAAATATTTCCTTTACAATTTTTTTGGCATAACACCGCATGGCCGCCAGTGATAATGCCTTGAAGAGCAGGTCAGGTCTCAAATTATCTTGCCCGGAATTTGCGATCCGCCAACTGCATAAAAAAACTGAAAAGTATACAATTTTTAGTAATAATTAAAGACCTGAAATTTTCGTTAGAAAGAATTTCAGTATTTCTTTTTACCTTCGTATTGATTCCTTTCACTTCATTTAGTCACTTTTACCATGCAGGGTTTTTTGTAAATCTTCGAGTGAATTAATTTGTTTTTTTTATATATTTATAAAATATTTTTCTAGTATTTTCCCATTTATGACAGTTTTAGAGAAAACTTGGCAACAAATGCCGGTTCAAAAATTGTGTACACTAAAAAGTTCTTTACTGGACATTCAAAGTTGAATAACGAATGTTAAACATGGATCTAAGTAATATCATGTTTTTATTTGAAAAAAAAAACTCTTCTTGAACATCTATGCTACTGAAAAAATTCTTCCACGTTGAAGCTTAATGTTCAAAGTTTTTAGATTCTTTTAAATAAAAAAGCAAATAGACATAGATGCCGTAGGTTGAAAAATACCAATAGATCAACAGCCTTGTCGATTATCCTCAATCAATGTTGTTTTACAAATATTTCTGTTTATTCTCTTTCGAAGCTAAAACAAATACACAATTATTATAAAATGTCATAAAAATATACATTTTTTTGTAAATATTATTGGTACTTGGTAAATATTACGTGTATTTTATGGGACTTATTTATACTAAGGTAAACCTTTGTGGAATTATATACCATTCAAATTTTCACCTTTTCACGTGATTCTTTCCTCCATTTCTTTACCATTTACTAAAATAATCCCAAAATTTTACAGAAGAGTAAATTGTTTACCTATACTTTCAAACAAGAAATCTAAATGAAATGGAATTCACGCTTGAAATAATCAGTAAAAAACTGCTCTAACTCACGCCAATTCACCACATTTCTGCCTGGTCCCTCCCGTTTGGAAAAACCTGTCGATTGCTTCAATATTCCTCCCTTCAAGCCTTCAATACTCGAGGTGAATATTTAACAAATGCATCATATATACTGTATTAGTTTCCTACCGTCACATACCTACAACCACACAGCAGAATTTTACATCCATTGAATGATGTTGTTCGTTGACAACTCAATGAAGGTGAGATCAGGTGCACCGCTACTGCCAGCTGACGTCAAGTGCTCCTCGCCAGGGTCGTGGTATACCTCCCGGATTTCGGGGAGCTTCTCGAACATCCGACGAGCGCCCGTAGCGGTGAGGCCATTTCTCGGTAAGACCACACGCAGGCTGAGATGGCCATCAATTAAATAAGAAAGTAATAAAAGATTTTTCAGGAAATCTGAGTCAGAATTTTCATAAAATTTATAGACACAAAGTAAATATGTATGACTGAATGAATCACTCGAATTGGCTACACCAGCTTAAAATGGAGATTGATATAGCCTCCAATTATATATACATGAAACCTCTTATATATTGAAAGTAAAGAGAGTTCGAGGCTATTCTGCAAGCGCATTTAATGAAGTATTTGGCTTCATTACCTCACATGATATTATGTATGAAATTTTATATGTTAATTGGAATGTTTTTTTCATAATCTTGTTATTTTATACTTTAATTCAAAAAATGTTTTTCAAATATTTGAAGTGTCTTTCAACATCATTTTGGAAGAGACAAATTCTTAATTCTAGAATGGCAAGCGCCAGAGTAACAGAGACTGCCAGAATGAAAATACAAATTAATTAAAATTGAGTTTATTCATACGCACCGAGAATGCCTGAATTGGTGCACAATGCCGATCATCCAGTCCAAGTCCTCGTCGCAGAGGTCTGGGAAGTGCCAGCGGGTGACGCTACAACCGCGCTGCCTCAAATATGAGCTGACGTTGAGAGGTGTTCCTCGTACACAGCAAGCATCGTCTGTGGAACAGACCGGACTCAATTGAACAAGAAACATTTTCTCAGCTAATGCATCCTTCTGTTCAGCATTACAAATTTGTGTGATCCAAAGTCAATCCAAGTTCCATCATTTTGACGTTAATGACGCTTCCGACACAATTTTTGACGATTGCTCCCAAGAATTTACTAATGACAGGTAAGAATGCAGCGCAAAGTCATTGACTTCTAACCGAGGCTACTAATGATTCAAAGTTGCATTGATTGTTTTTTTTATCCTGCACCGTGGTTGCATTGATGGTGTGTGGCGATGTGTAGTTAACGAATAAAATTTTCTTTCTCAAAATGCAGATCATCCAGGCCCAAAAATGCGAAGTCAGTTTGCGTTGTTCATTGTCTCCGCAGGGGCGCTGAACAATAAAAGCCTCCGGCTCTTCAACGGGCCAATTGAAAGAATAAAGAATTGACAGGTACGTGTTTGTTTAATCAAGTTATACTCTCAGTAAATTATGTAACCTTGTACTGTAGTGTAGTTATTAACTAAAAAAAAGTAATAACTTATAATACAATGCATTGGAGTGGTGTCCGTGCTACTGTTCGTTCACAACCGTCGTTCATCCTTGCCAAGAAACGGCGAGGTTACTTCTTTGCAAATTAACAATTTCTAATATCAGTTACAACTAAGGGTTCAACTTACGGTTAAATATTCGAGAACTTACCTATGTGTTTCGGAAAAGCTACGTACGTCCCGATGTCGTAGTTTCTAACAAAACGCACACCGATCTTGCAAGGCCACTCTCTGGTTACCCGTGTTTGGATTTTGGGAGCCGTAAATCTACCTTGCGAACAAAATCCGCGGTAAGTTACCAAAAAATTTCAATTTTATCTTTAGAATATGTTATTTTGCCCCTTATTTAAACGTGTCTGTGAACCTCATCAGTTGCCGCTTTTCTTTTAATTTAATCTTGCTCACACTATTTTTTAGTGTGAGTTAATTACTTGAACTCAACTTATGATTGATAGTTGTGAGCATCTCTCTGTTTATTAAAGTATTTAAAAGTAAATGAAATGTATAAATGCCAGTTTGTATTTTATCCCAGCAAATTTGCTCCAACAATAAAAGATGCAACATACAGGATGATAAAAATTTGTGGAAAAACTGCCGTTTCTTAGGAAAGACTTGAAAAATTCCAAGACTTGCAACAGATAAAACAGAAATTCATAGCAGTAATTACTGCTATGAAAAAGTAATTCATCTTAGGATACAATCTATACCACTCAGCATTTGGGCGGGATGTCGCTCGTTTAAGTAAGCCACGACTTGATCAGTAGGGCCGTACATGGTATCTAGGCGGTCACTGTAAACACAGGAAAATATGAGAGAATATATGATCAAGAAAAATAACTTATAAACAAATCGGAAGAATAAGGTACAGTAACTTAATTAAGAAGTTTTCATGATGTCGAAATTTTCATTTCAGGTTTAGAATTATGAGCTTGGAACTTGAAAATCTCAACTCATATTGGGGCTACGAACGTATAATTGTGTTCCAGCCACCAATATGGGAACTTGTGTTCCAGTCACCAACAACTTCTATTGAATGCTCACACGCGATTTCCCGCAGACAAAACATGAGTTTACACAAAATTTGACTTTCATTTTAAAGGTCCATTCAAGTTACAATGAAAGCCGCAACAAGATCACGTCAGAGATGACTTAAGACCTGAATGAGGAAGATACAGCTAATGTACTATTGAAACAACTATTGAAGAAGAAACAACTATTGTACTAATCAGTAAACTTATAAATTGCATCGACAGCTAACTGTAGAATTAAATTTAAATGCATCTATGAAAAAAGTCAATTAGAATGCACATGTGACATGGGCACTGATATAATTTATTCACATTGTTCTTTTACTCTGTTCTTATCGTAATAAAATAAGATATTTCATTCCATTTATGAGCGATAAGCTTTGAAGTTGCTCAAAATTTCTTACTCAGTTCATTAGGTGATCGTAAAGCGATTGGTTCCGATTATTGGATGCAGATGCAATTGAAAGTTGCATTTTCCAGTTTAACTGATTATAGTTGAATATGAACATATTTTAATAAAATAAAAGAAAAAAGTGATAACTTGAATTGGTTCTTGAAGGTCTGAATATGTGAATTGGTGAGAAAATGACAAACTATACGTTACAATGGACACTGCAAAAAAGCGGGAGTTCTCCAAGAGGCCGGTGCAGACTACAAATTTTGCCTCGAAGAAGGTTGTAGACTTCTTCCTAATTTAGACTACACTGGAGTAATTGGACCAACAACTACCACTTTGGGTATTTCAAACAAGCAATTTCATCTCAAAATCGTCGATGAATTCAACTGGCTTGGTGATACCTTTGACAACAACGTCAAGCTCCGGACTATCCCAAATAATGGACCTTGCAAAAAGCGAGAGTTCTCCAAGAAGCCCATGTAATCTGTAAATTTTGATTCAAAGAAGGTTGTAGACTTCATCATTTGGGATACATTGGCGTTATTGGACTAACAACCACGACATTGACACCCTCTCACCTGCCACCTACAGTTTGGATGACAGGGAGTATTGAAAACAAGCTTAGGGGTTAGGTTAGGGCTATAGTTGAGGTTAAATGTGTTTAAAACACTTCATTACGTTGCTTGACATCTTTCGACTGAGGTTAGGCCCAACCAGGTTAGTTTTTTTTACTTTTTCACAATTTTACAAAAGGTCATTGGGTAAAAAATAATCATAGTCCAGATAAGTGAAAATATTAATATATATACTATACTGAACAATATATATATGTCTAATTATCCGGACTTTAATTATTTTTTCAAATGTGAGAAAACTTAACCTGCCTAGACCTAACCCTAGTAAAACGGTCTCTAACAACGTAAAGAAGGGTTTTAGACACACCTAACCCTAACTCTAACCCTACCCTAACGAGGTTGTCATTCTTTTGATGTCCGGTAATGTAGTTCATTTATTTACGCGTCCGGTTATTAAGTACAAACTAATTGCAGATTACACAACCGGACGCGATTTTGTCCGGGTTTCTAACCCATGTCCGGGTTAGAAACCCACAAAATTGGTAAGATTGTTTAATTCAAACCCACTTAAATCAATACAATCGCAGTACCATAATTGTCAACGCGTTTTACTCGAGTTATCTTGAAACTTACTATGGTACTGCTGGACCAGCATCGACTTATAATCCTTTTAAATATATATATAATCCTTTTTGTGTTTTTATTACTATATTTTTTTATTTCTTGCTTTCGCTGATTTCATGATCATAAATCGCATTTATTCGTGAGAAAAGGTTCCTCACCTTAACCTCCTTGCAATGATCTCCTATAATTCCAGTAAATATTTATAAGTAAAGGGCATTTAATCCTTATTTTCACCCGTTCATATTGCGATTATTTTTCTCAATTGTCAAAATATTGACCTATGTACCTAAATTTGTTGATGGTGTCTCCCATGCCTCTATCCGAGTGCCCTGCTGGCCTCCAGAAGTAGTCCAGGGGCAGCAGGCTGATGTCGCCGGTGTGGTGGGCGGCGAGGCAGGACAGCAGCGTCCCCAGCCCCGGGATGGGGCGGGTGTGGGTGGACAGCACCACGAGGCGACTGGGCTTGATGTTGTTGGACAGGCTGGCGAAAGCTCGCTCTCCTTCATCGCAGCTGGCGACTGTCCAGGGCTGACCGTGCTCATATATCTGGAAATTCCACGGAAACTTTGCATATTGTGCTTTAATTAGACGAAGAGTTATTCTATATGAAATATTGGTTGGTCAGTAACAAGAAAGGGTTTGCAAAGGGTTTGTAAAAAGTGAATTAATGTAAAAAAGCGTTTGTGGTGCAGATAAACGTCATCATTTCCCCGCTTCACGCTTCTCCTCTCATTTTATGCCATTCCTTTCAGATAAAATTGAATCTCTAGCTAGCTCGTCTCGGCTTTCGGCTTGTTGAATGGTATACAAATCGTTGTAATACATTTAAAGCTAGCACATTTGAATAATATATTATTTATTCCTAGATTTATATTGTATTGTTTGAATTTGCGGTTTTAATTATGCTTCACGCCTGCCGGCATGCGGTGGGCAAGACCGATTTTGCTCCAAACCTGCTATCTAGTTTAAATCAATGCAGACTTCTGCTCCAACTCTTAACTATCTATCTCAAGAGGCACTTTACTCACCTGTAACAATTCACATTTCTTCAAAGCTGCAGACAACCTCGCCCTGATATCTTCTGTCTCTATATTTTTTGGAGGTTTCAATTTAAGACGGCAAAGAATTTCCTTGCATTCACGTCGCCAGTTCTCATTCACAACGGTGGCCGGGGCATCCCAGGCCTGGAGGTCTTGTTTTGTCGACATTTGCTGGACCAGCAGCGAATCCTTGCATCCTTGAAATTTAGTCCTTAGGGTTATAATTTCATCAATCAAACTCAAAATATCGTCTGATACGGAGACTAAGTTATTCCATCGCCCGAGTTTATCGTGTATTGTGGTCCGTATTTTCGTCCACGGGTTTAAAACAGATTCATCCACCTGAAGTATGTCGTCTATTAACTCAATTTCGTGATTTTTATGCGTGCCCCTGGTGCACGTGAAGCACACGAGTTCCATGCAGTCCACGCACTGGTAATCCAGCGCCTTCCCATGATGGAGGCACGGTGCCTCTGACAGCGAGCTCGGGGGATGTGGACGAGCCGTTTTTTCGGGAGGAATCAATGCGTAGTTGACCAACATTTGATCAATTCGTAGGAAAATTTTTCCCCTACATTTTGGGCAATTCTGATCTCCAGGGCGTTCTAGAAAATGTGTAATGCAAGAAAAGCAAAACGTGTGGCCGCAGGTCAGGCACAGTGGTTTGTGGTTGCCTGTGTCGAATTCCTCGTTACAAACGTCGCACTCTATCATCGCACTTGCCATCATGTAAAGAGTTTAAAAGTTTCATGTAATTATTATCGAGTGATGTCCAACAAAAATGTAGGTACTATTCACACAAACCTACAGAGCGATAGTTATGTGACCGAGCATCTGTTGATCTAATACGCTTGTTTGGTCGACATCACATCTTTCCTCCAAGAAAAGTCAACTCGTTTTAATTGAGTTATCTTGGAACTTATTACGGCACAGAAGGATCTTATTATGGTTTAATGAAGTCTATTGTAGCCTTCCATAATCCTGAATCAGGTGAGAGACGAAGACTCTTAAATATCGTCGTACTTTGTTTGAAACTTTAACGTCAACATTGCAACGTGGTGCTTCGTGGATGTGAATCTCATATAAGCTACTGAGACCTGTATTGTCTACAAGCCAAATTTCCTGTACTCCGTTCATGTACAATAATACTAATTTTCATTCCATAAAATTTAGGCTGGAATTAAATTTTTAAAAACAATCATTGATAATGCGTGGCGTACCTTCTGGCCCTTGTGTGGGCCTTAAGGACTCAGTTTTTCCGTCAACAGGACGTATCAGTGCGACCTACAAAAAATGTGTGTGTCCATTCATTTAATATGAGCCATTCATTTATATGAAAGAACTCCGATTTTTCATCTATGTGAGCGACAGCTCCCAATAACTGATTAAATGGTGCCATATGAAATGAGGGTTGTAGAAAAGGGCAATTTACCTCGCTGCCTGTGAATACGTTAAATATGAATGTGTGACTAAGTTAAAATACTTAAATTACCAACAATGCAGATTTTAAATTGGGATTATAAAGTTTTGACATAACTTGGTATAATTCTTCATTTCCATTTTTCATTGTTTTATCAAGAAGAAATCAAAACAATGAAAATTTCTCTTGCAATGGAAAGAAGATTTAATTTTTTAATATGAGGGTAATGAAAAGGTTCGGTGGTAATGAACCTCAGCTCAAGATATATGAAAAACTTTCTTGTGTTATTCTCTATGCATTCTTTAGGAGTGAAGTTTAATTACTGAGTAATACTTCCTTTTCTTTTTTCAATGAGTTATCCTTTTTAATGAGTAACTGTTTTTATTTTTTAATGAGTATTAATACATGGCTTTCAGTCACTGTACTTTCCGTCTCTGCATTACTTATTATGGATTGGAATACTTGGGACAAACTCTGAGTCTGACTCAACGTCTTAACACCCGACTGATACAACAGCAGAAGTATTATAATATAATAATTACCTCTTATTATTAACTGAATTGTAATATGATTATAATAAATGTTATGATATTATTTCACGTATATATCTCATTATATGACATCATTTAAATAATAAGAAATTTTGATATTCAATCATTGAGCACAACGATAATACGAGGCAACGATGAGTGAATTGATCAAAAACTTTTGAATATTTGTATATACTCGATTAAAAAAAATTAATATTTCTCTAACTCCGATATTCAGGACACCCTTAATTGCTTCCAAGTTGTCATCAAATGCCACATATGCACATGTCTGCTACATGCGAGCACCGCAATGAAGAACTGCTGCGGCGCTATCAGGCCGCTGAGAGTTATCGCTGCAGTGAAAGTCATGAGTCATGAGGTTTTATTGCGCTGCTATCTCAAGTTACGGGACTGATAAGATCAAGCTGCCAATCATGCTAGTACTTCATTATTAATTGAACGTTTATCTCTCTAATGACATGATTATGATTTTCACAAACCTCGTTTACTTTTTTCGTTGTTGAGCTTGAGCAACTTATCACGCTTCAAAGAATAATTTCCACTAAATGAGTTGAGGTTGAATACGACAAGCGAACATAGAATTCAAATTCTCTCTTTCTCTTGCCCGGGATTGCTGACTTCATTGTCATCTCAACAACTTGATGATATTCCGTCCCCCCAAAGGGGTTCCTCTTCTGTAATCTTCAAACAAATTTCTAAGCCTTATCTACTGCAAGATGCGAGAAAAATATGTCTAGTTTTAAATCTATATCGGACATGGAAGGTAGATTGCGCCTTAAAACTCTAGGACACTACAATTTTGACCTTGAATTGAATTCACCAACTTTGAAGGCCATTAGTTATAAGAAGAGAATGCACAATTACTCGTCAAGAAAATAACCAGTGTTATCTTATGACTATTGAGTATGCAGTTGATATTCGTTTGTTTAATATTTAGATTTATAGATTTATTTATTGTATGTACAAAATACTTATCAAAAGTCGTTCAAGAGGCTCCCTTAAAATATAAAACTTCAAAGAGATCAAACAGGTAATTTTCCATTTAATATTCTATATTTCCTGAAAATGTGTGATGCGTGGCGTGCGTGCCCTGCATGGTGCACGTGAAGCGTGGCGTGCGTGCCCTGGTGCACATGAAGCGTGGCGTGCGTGCCCTGGTGCACGTGAAGCGTGGCGTGCGTGCCCTGGTGCACGTGAAGCGAGGCGTGCGTGCCCTGGTGCACGTGAAGCGTGGCGTGCGTGCCCAGGTGCACGAGAAGCGCACGAATTCAGTGCGGTCCACGAATTTTCCGATGGAATTAATGATTAGATAATAATAATAATTTGATTTACAGATAGTGGTGATCGCTTCTTGCATATCAGACAGTTCTTTTTCCTGAAACATTAGGTGAACTTTATATTCTAACATGACGTCACCGCCACTAATGGTACCGGCCGTTGACTTGACTATTCTGCATAGAGAACCGAATTGCTGATAACCCGTATATTTCAATAGATTGTAAAGATTCTTCTGTGCATTGACGACAGGTTTTAGTTTGAGAAGAATCTTGACAATTTTGGATGCACGTTAAACAGCACGAGTGGACCGGTGGACAATCTCGGCAAATTATTTTAAATTGCGCAAGTTGAATTGCGAGTAGCAAACTTCGCACTGCAAGTTAGCGATGTTCGTGTTGATGCGCTTTCTTCTTCCTCTGCGATTCGTAGGAACTAACACACTGATGCACTTCTAGCGAAATTCCATTTAAATTCTTGACTCACAGCCTGAGGAAACACTGTGCGTTAACAAAATGTACCATTTCGACAATTTAAATCCATGAAATGCAATGGATTTTTACTGCAATGGGTTTCTAAGTAACGTACTACAAATCGAAGCATTGACCAGCTTAATAAACGATAAACTTTTCATTACACATAGTAAACACTCACATAAAGCTCTGCGTTGCTTTCTTAATTGAATTTCCCTTATTTGTCAGTTTTATTAAACTTGATGAATACATGATTTAGTTAGATTCATGAAATAAATTCTATAAACGTTAAATTAAAATTGAAGTACAAGTTAAGGAAGTGAAGTAAAGTAATACATTGTATTAAATGTCCATGCTCCCTGGAACAAATTTATTTTATGTCTTACCCCAGAGTATAAGATCATATCCATTTACGAGTATATGACCAAGAACGCTTTACTTACTTTTTATTTAATTCCTGATTACTTTTTCGATGTAAAATATTTATCCGTATCTATTTAAAACACAGATGAAAATTATCAAATATAATTTTCTCTACTTTAAAATTTGATGAATATACAGGGTGAACCAGAATTAACTGACCCTTTTAATTTGTTAATAAATAAAAAACTAAGAATGTTATGAAGTTGAAACTTGTTTTATTTAAAAGAAGAACATCTTTATGGTAATATTGTGTCCTAGTTTTTAGGATACAATAACTAACTATATAGGATACAATATTACATACAATATTTTAACTAATACATATTATTAATACATAATAAATATTTTAACTAATACAATAATAAAATATTGTAATAGGATACAATATTTTAACTAGGATACAATATTACCATAAAAATGTTCTTCTTTTAAATAAAACAAGTTTCAACTTCATAACGTTCTTAGTTTTTTATTTATTAACAAATTAAAAGGGTCAGTTAATTCTGGTTCACACTGTATATTAAATCCATAAAATACTCTGTAGTTGACGCCGAAGAATATTCATTCTTCTTCATAAACACAAGTTTTTCTTAGATTTGGACAAGTATACATATTCTAGGATACTTTAATTAATATAATATATATATTACGCCATTTAACAATATAATATAAAATTATAAAATTCATTACCAACATAATTCTAAAATTAATAATAATTAATTTTAATAATAATGGTTTCATATTTGGCGGTTGATGACACGTTGAATCAAGACTCAAGACCCGAGATCGCAGGCAGCATTCTACAATATGGCTGCTGTATATGTGGTCAATGCGTTAACAGAATTTGAACAATATACTCATTGAACTTTTACTTAATTAAATGCGGTGACCAGGAAATTCCACGTAATTGTGTCGACCACACACACCATGAGTGAGTGATGACGAGAGCCAGTGATAATTCGCAGGACAGATTAAGAACTTCAAGAATAATCCGTTCGAAATCTCTGCTGGTTGGTTCCCCATGAAACACGCAGATAAGATGCCGATATGAGATCGTAATCATCATATTATTCAACCAATGTGAACAGTCATTATGATTTTTCATGTAAACAGCTAGATTATTGTGGAACCGTTATATAGGATCGAGGCTTCATCGATCATCGCAATCTTGGCAGCAGAGTACGGCTGCCTGAACGCATTTTAATTAATAATTTGCTCTAATTCTTCCCGGTTCATAATCGCCTACACATATATATACGTGCTGGCGCTTATCACGGAGAACATAGATAAGTTTTATGCGTAGTATTATGTTCGATGGATTCAAAGGATTAAAACGAAGAAGTCAAAGATACTGAATATCCCTAAATCATAATGAAATATTGATTTAATTCTTTGGTATTCCAAAGCTGAAGACGAGCCTGAGCCAGAACGCCGTCGTCATGTTTAGTCGCTCGTCGCGGGAGAAACTCAACAGCTCCCAAATCAAATGAGCAGACACGTTTTGTGCCTAAATAAAAGCACGAATTGAATCATAGCTGTAAATACAGTACAGTGTAATATTATAAGGCATGATATTCGTCCCCACCAGCAACCTAACACATTTTCTAGAAAAATATCATTTGTCAATGTGATTAAAAATGCTTAACAATAACAATCGATGCCATCAGTGAAATATCTAGTATCGATTTCATGATTAAAGAATTCAATGAACAACGTTACACAAAAATTCAACAAGAAAAATGATTTGTCATATCAACTTTTCCGACGTGCTAGTTGCGAAATTGCAATTGTGAACGATTCCAAAACAAACTGTGTTGCTTCGAGTGAATAACTCATATATTTTTGGTTAAACTTGGCGAGGTCCCTGTTCCTTATAAGGCGTTATATAATATTCACGAGCTAAATTATACAGACTTTTATGGAACATAATTTCACCTTGCAGAGATGCTGCTAGTGTACAAGGCAAGCAAGCACCTAGACAAATGAATTGGTCACAGTGTCAAAATAGTGACACTTTCTACTTCTAAGACTGATACGCCATTTTGCCTTGTCAAACTGGGTCAGGATGCCCTACACAAGCGTAAAAATGCATCACTTTTTGGACAAAGTTTTATTCATTTCTGTGAGTGAGGTTCAGAAAAATAAGTGTGGAAATAATGCTTGTTGGTGCATGCGATTCAGAGCCCTATAGTATACACACATTTGCTGTTTCAGTGTATAGGCAATGTATATGAATAACCATAGTGATTGTTGTGTTACAACCATTAGAATAGATGATTATAATGTGTACTTAATGCTTCAACAATTGATAAACTCATGGATTGAGAAAAAGTCTGTTGAAGTTATTTTGCACCCATATATTTTGCACCCATGTAGGTATGTGTCCTGCGTTCGATAATGT